AGTACTCTTTTGTTTATGTTGTCTTAAGTCTCTTCTTCATTTGTGAGGAGATTGCCCATCATTCCCTGGTATGTAGGAGGGTGATATTGAACAATACTTCAGTGCACTTTTCTTTGTTTCTTGTTGCTTCAAGTCTCTTCTTCATTTTTAAGGAGATTGTCCTTCATTCACTACTATATAGAAGGACCGATATTACATAAGAGTTCAATATTGTCTTCTTTGTTTCTGTTGCTTCAAGTCTCTTCATCCCTGGGAAAAATGTCCAGCATTCACTGCCATATAGGAGGACTGATATTACATTATGATTCAACCCTCTTTTCTTTGTTTTTGTTCCTTCAATTCTCTTCTTTATCTGTGGGGAGATTGTCCAGTATTCATGGCCATATAGGAGGATTGATATTACATAAGATTTCTTTTCTTTACATATGTTGCTTCAAGTCTCTTCTTCATCTGTAATATTCGCTGTCATATAGGAGGACCGATATTATGTACGAGTCCGGGTACTCTTTTCTAATTACATTTTCTTGTTTCATAATATTTCGGTTAGATTTTGGAAAGCAATTTTCGCTATGAAGATGTGTCTTCGGATTACGGTGCCATACTTTTCGTCCTCTATTAAATATGAAGATTCTAGTGTTTGCTTCATTTTGATACACTCGAAAATAAACCCGATCAATGTTTACCAATTGACTCAAATATAAATCCTATAGGTTAAATATATAATCAAGTGTAAACACTAACTATTTTTACCTATAGAATCAAGAATAAACCCGACTAATATTTACCTACAAATTCATGTATAAAAACGAAGAAGCTTTACCTATAGACTCAAGTATAAAAACGAAGAAGCTTTACCTATAGACTCAAGTATAAACCTGACTTGAATGTATTATCTAATCTTCTATTTATCAGTAAACATTGGATAATTATATCTAAAGATTATTAACCCGATAGAGATATTTTTCTAACCAGAAATGCTGACGCTATGGTGGGCATAATATAAGATGAAATATTTATTTCAGGTAGAATTTATTTTACGAAGAATTTCTCAAAGTAGATACACGGAAGGGTAATGGATAGCGGATCTGAATGAGGGAGAGCCGAGTTCGAATTCCAGTCGAGTTCACTGCATTCATTTACATGTTAATAACCTTGGGAAGTATATGAATCCATCTCTTCTACTCCTGGTATGGGCAAATAGCAGAACAGATCGGGTTTAATAGCCTTGGTTGGAAACCAGTTTAGAAGAAGAAAAGTTCTTAATTCAAATCCATCTCTTCTCTTTGGCAAAAATTGGGTATCTTCAAAATAAAATCACGAATGTCTCGAAGAGACGAACAGATCCTCGACGGGTTTAATAACAAACAAAAGCCTAGACGTTGGAAACCGGAAAAATAAAGTTTAGAAGAAGAAAAGTTCTATTTTGAAATTCAAATCAAAATTTTTTGCATGAGTTGTAGGATACCTTTTGTAGAATAACAGAAATGCCTCTATTTTCAATTACTTGTTGCCTCAGTATTTTTTCATATAAAAAAAATTTTAGAATGTATGCATTCAAAATAAATCTATCACGAATGTCTCGAAGAGACATATCAAGAAACAGAATTTTATAACAGATATATACATATCAAGAAACTGAATTTTATATAACATATATACATATCAACAAACAGTATTTTATATAACATATATAAAATAACAAACAGAATTTTATATAACATATATACATATCCAATAGCATATATATGTCATTTTATAACATATATACATATCAAGAAACAGAATTTTATATAAAAGATATACATATCAAGAAACTGAATTTTATATAACATATATACATATCAACAAACAGAATTTTATATAACATATATACATATCAAGAAACAGAATTTTATATAGCATATATACATATCAAGAAACAGAATTTAATATAACATATATACATATCAACAAACAGAATTTTATATAACATATATACATATCAACAAACAGAATTTTATATAGCATATATACATATAATAGAATTTTATAATATATATATATATCAACAAACAGAATTTTATATTCTATATACATATCAAGAAACTGAATTTTTATATAATATATATACATATCAACAAACAGAATTTTATATAACATATATACATATCAACAAACAGAATTTATAAAAATATGACAAACTGGAAAGGTCTTTTCAGACACGTTTCATCTATTGATTTTATTCTATGTTGAGTTACACATGTGTACGAAACGAGAGATATCATTTTTTAATATTTTTAATTGACTGCTGGAAAGAATCTTTGCCATTGAAGTATAACATTGAAATAGTGAGCAATGGAGACAAATAAAGGTTGGGCATCATAAAAAAAATCAAGATCTGATATATATATATATATGTCAAAATATTGTTTGGGATCCACCTAATTTCTATAGAAATTACCGACCATATAAATATGGTTGCCGAATAGGATTCAACCAGAGACTCTGCCCGACCGACTCAGTCAACACATTCTCCAAGAACGTCTTACCAGGAATATACAAAAGACTATATGTAAATATTGTGTACACTTTCTTGTTTTCAATATTTTGTTCTAATTACATTTTGTGTTGCATTGATTCCGCATTAGAAAATTTCAACACATATGTTTCTAAGTCCTGTAGTACAATGGTATCAAACAAACTATAAAACCCGGATAAAAGATATCTTGTGTGGAATTACAGAAATGTCTCTATTGTCAATTTAATTTTGTTTAACGGAAAAAACTATTCTTTTTATTTCGATTTCGTTAATGTCCATCAGAGGGCGAATCGTGTCTACTAATAGGTCTCATCACTTGCCTATATATTGAAACACTAACCGTAATATCTTGCTATAGCAAGCAACCTAAAAGACACAACGGTAGGTGCACCGTAATCGGTATAAAATGTCTGCCTGACAAACACAAGTCAACATCAATTTCTATAAAATATTAATACCGTAGATGAGGCATCAGCAACATTTTCCTAATTATGTGCTGACTTTGGGTTTAAATCATATAGTGTAACAAAATGTATTTTATTTCAAATTGTTCTACAATATATTTTATATAGCAATATATAATTTAAATAATTACTGAAAACAACTAAAAATTGTTTAGCATTATTGTTTCAGTTCGTGAATTTGCGCCGTGCCAAAAAAAACGCGTGCCGTGATTGCCGGCCCCTGATTTAGACGATCGCAGAACTGGCTTTCTTGCTTTGATCCGCGACAGAAAGTGTACTCCTCTGTGTAGTACAATGGTTCAAACAAACATAAAACCCGGATGTATCAATAATTATGGCACTTCAGACAATCGAAGCAGAAGCTAGAGAAATGTTTAAAAATTGTTTAATAATTACGAATAAAAACGTTTCATTCTGGAATTAGTAAATAATCCTGCAGAATCTTTCAGAAGACTTGGAATAAAACCCGACACCAAATTGTTATTCGAGTTTAATAACGTTGCCTGTGAAGCCGACTGGGTAATATTGTCGGAATTAAATTGACAAAATTTGGCAAGAACGCTGCTATGTCTGCATTTTAAATACTTCAAAACCGATCGGGAATAATTATGTTTTTGGCTAATTCTTTAAGTATCGGCAGATGGTATTTATCAATCCACCCACAAGGATCGAATGTGGCACAAGGCCTTTTTAATGTGGGTATCTCTGAGCCCGTAGGCCCAGCCAAAAATAAATAACCATCCAAACCCGCCGAGGCGGGCCAGTTCCGTCAACCTCCCCCAACGAAACCCTACCCTTCGGCGGAGCTTCGTCCGGGTTTCTCTCTGCAAGTAGAGAGTTCGACAGACACCCGACCCGGCAGCTGATAAAGCGCAGATACTACACTTTGATCCTAGCCACCGGGCCGAGCCGGTATTCTTTTTTTTTAAGTATCGGTAGATGACCTCTTCTGAAATTCCCGCCATATATCCTATCGGGGATGATTCTAACGAACCTCCTCAATTCACCTATCAATTTCGGTACACAGCAATTTCGTATTTGCAAAATGAAGGAGGACACTCACTAATCAGAATTTTTTTAAAAGTAAGCTTCAGGAGGGGAAGTGGAAAAATCAGGCGTGGCTGACCACATATTGAGAGAGAAAAGGGAGATCACCAACCTCTAGACAAAGAACACCATTGGAAAATTCGTAAACTTAAGGAATCAGCACATATGCTAGGCCACAAAAATCTCCTGAGCCAACCAAACATAGAAATGAATACAATATGGGAACCAGTAATAAGGTGTGCCAGAGAAAAGAGATAATAACAAAAAAATTGCAATATGAGCTCTGGTAAAAACATGTAATAATAACAGCAAAAATTGCAATATGAGCACTGGTAAAAAAAAAAGATTTCTGAAGACATTAGGTTTATAATGCCCAGAAATTCATATACATGGACACATGGCACAGTGGATGAATGTGTTGGTTAGATCCAGTGACAGATCCACAGAATGTGAGTTCAATACCCGGTTAAGGCAGTGAAGAACATTCAGAGGTAAATTAACAGGAGATAACTGATAAATGGCACATGGAACTAGAACAGTCTACCCCACTGAGCGAAATAAAGGTTCAGTTCGACATTCCAACCACCTGAAGAAGGCCGGAGCGTACAACGGCCGAAACTTTCTAATAAATATGGGGACAAAGATGAATAATGTAAATAATGTACATAATACATGAATAATGTAAATAGTGTACATAATAGCTCATCTCAGAAATGAGAGATAAATGAAAAAAATAAATAAACGTATATTTACCAAAATTTAAGAAAAAATATCTTGAAATACTAAGGAGTAAATTTATTAAATAAAATCTCCATTCGCTTCACCCACGGACTTCAGATTACTACAGAATCTCCTGCAAAATGTCTGAACGGTCTCCATGTTTAAGTTGATGAATGTTACCATAATACTTGCCTTCAGTTCATCTTTGGCGTTACGGGGAGTTTTGTTGGTCTCTTTCAGTAACTAATAACATCATAATCAAGGGGATTGCGGGGAGATAGATAGATAGATAGATAGATAGATAGATAGATGAAAAAAGACTGAGGATTGGATAAATAGATAGATAGTTCGATAGATATGAACAGACGGAAATAGATAGATAGATAGATAGATAGATAGATAGATAGAACAAATAGAGATATGAACAGATGAATAGATAGATAGATAGATAGATATGAATAAATGAGATAGATAGATAGATAGATAGATAGATAGATAGATATGAACAAACTGAGATAGATAGATAGATAGATATAGATAGATAGATAGATATGAACAAACCGAGATAGATAGATAGATAGATAGATAGATAATAAAAAAAAACTGACATGGATAAATATATAATGAATAGACAGAGATAATTACATAGATAGATAGATAGATAGATAGATAGAGAGAGAGAGAGATAATGAACTGACTGAGATAGATAGATAGATAGATAGATAGATAGATAGATAGATAATGAACAGAATTACATAAATAATGAACGAATAGATAATGAAAAGACTGAGATAGATAGCAAAAAGTCCGCTTTTCAAAATGGTTGTTTTGCTTCTTTTTGGTGTTCCCGGTCTCTGCACCTTGTTCGCGTTCTTCGAAATGATTCCGTTTACGTGCTGACAATTCGAAATAAGTTCATTCAAGTTCTTACATCTACGATTTTTCAGTTTTTCATCCACACATATTTTGCAAATTCAGTATCCTTTTTGTTATGTCTTTTCTTTTTATACACCAGAGTTTTCGCATTCACTTTTACTTCACATGCATATTTGAACAATATGGTGTTATAACCATATATTTGATATTTGAATGAAAGAGAAATGGTTTGAATATCTTTCATCAAATTCTTTCCCAGAAAGAACTACCGACTTCGGAAGAGTCCAAAGGGAATATATGCTCATTTTGAAAATCACACATTATGAATCTGGTTATTTATGGGTAAATAAAAATGCCGTATATTTGGTTCAATTTTATGCCGGTAAATTAATGGAAGAAATATTCCTACGCATATTTTGGAATGATAGTGCATCTTTTATTTTTCCTTTGTCTAGCTCCTGATGTGATATTCTTGTACAAAAAAAAACAAACCTTTTTCTTTTTCTTACGATTCGGTGGACGGATATAAAGAGTGTTTCTGCCAGTCTCTCTGCCAGTTTATCTTGCTTCTTTTTAGACGATAAAAAAGATCAAATACAACCTTTTGTTGATCCTGCGTAATAGACGAAAAAAAAAAAAATTATTGAAATCACAAACTCAAGCGTTGCGTAGTGAGTACGGAATCGATTCTTTTCATTTTCTTCTTTTCATTTCTAAAAATAAATGATCGAGAAATTGACTGTGCAGATGAAGATGAACCTGACGCTGTGAAATTATAGTTTTCAAACTAAAAAGAAAATTTCAAAAAAGAAAAGAAAGAAATTACGAAAAAGAAAAAAGGAAAGTAAAACGGAAAATATTTTAAATTAACCTTCATTTTTTGTTTTGTTATATTTTTTATTTGAAATTATTTTTTTTTATTATTTATATCAATATTTCTTTGTTTTTTCTCTGAAAGGTTTCTCTTTATTAATTTAAAGTTTATTTTTATTCGATTTTTTTTTCCTGAAAATTTTCTTTCTATAGAAAAACTGCTGAAACAACGTTCTTATTAAGCAGTGTTTCTCTTAGGAAAAAACATGAAACTTATTTGTCAGTTCGTTTTTTCTTTCTTCTTAGATTTTAAAATAATTTTTCAAATATTTTTCTCTGTAAATCTCTTCCATTTCTTCTTTCTCTTCCATTTTGTTTTATGTTTAAATCGCGTTTACTGCAAATCTCGTTGAACACAAATTCCTAATAGTTTTACTTTTTATAGCAAACACGGATCTGGTGTAGTTTTTACCATGTACTTTATATTGTTATTAGTTCATTACATCTTCAAGAATACACTTTTTCATGGCTTCCACAAAGTCTTTGCGGCAATAGCAAATCTCTAACCATCCAATTACAAACCGTGAACCACAGTGAGGGCCCCTCTGCGACGATCGACCATTAATATTACTTAGTACAATTTGAAACAAAATTTAGAATACATACAATTTACCATAACATTTTAAATAAAACAAATTACGCCTTCATTGACAGTCTAAACGAACTACAACTGAAAAAATCTATGCGAACGTCCACAAAGAACACGTAACAAAAAGACATTAAATGTTTACGTCAAAGCTTTTCAAGACAAGGCAACAAATCTTTACGCTTGATAGCTTATACGATCCATGGTTTTTTACCTGTTATCTTACACTTAACTTGAATAGAAGACAAGTTAGATCAGAGTTTTCCAAATTGGGCGATATCACCCACCGGTGGCCGATTTCAGCTGTTGGCTAGGCAATGAGCAACTAAACATAAAATGGCGGGCGACTGAAAATTATAATGGGCGATATAAGTTTTTGAGTAAAAGATAATTCAACATACGCTACCTGAAAAATATTCAACGCAAGTATGCAAAGAACCTGCATTAAAAAATACAAGAAAATACATTGGAATAACTGGGTCACATTCCGAGATAAGATTATGTTGAATCCATTGCTTGGTATTTAAGCTGATGACACAACCATTTTCTCTCGATAGTAAGTCTGAACAGCTAAATAAGGTCAAATTGCTGACCAATGAAAAAAAATTATTTAATGAACTTCATGCTCTCAACTTGCCATCTACGCTGACAACAGAATAATTTACATCTGCTTTGTTAAGTCTTATCAATCGGACAAGTTCAAAATGGCAGCTGATGGCCAATACGATTTCAAGTCCGTAGTTAACCGGAGCAAAAGATGGCTTGTTAATTTTAATGCCTCAAAAACTAAATTGCTCTCTATTAATCATCTGAGAGACCCCTTTCTGTCTTCCATCATTATGGCTGATGCTAACCTCCAGGAAAGTGACTCATTGCGCCTTCTCGGGCTTACGTTCTCTGCTGATATGAATTGGAATGACTCGATTTAAACCATTGCTATGTGAGCTGCTATGAAAGTGGGCTAACTATGTAGAGAGAGAGGCAAGTTTTCACTCCAGAATCTATTTTACATATCTATAAATCTACCATTTGTACATGCTTAGAATATTGCTGCCACATATGGTCCGGTGCCATTTCTATCTTGAGCTCCTTGATAAGATCCCAAGAAAAATCTGCAATATTATTGGTCCTGATCTGGCAGCTAAGCTCATGTCACTTTCCCGTCGCTGCAAAAATTCTCTGTATATTTCTTTTCTATAGATGCTTTCATGGTAATTGTTCGGATGATCTCTTCGCTATGGTATATGTTTTTTTTTTTAAAAATTTAAGTGCAGCGCTATTCTGCCGTCAAGATATCTCTTCTTTTTTTTACAGCTGAGCTGGCTGTATTTAGCCGTAAGTTCTATGCTAAGAGTTTCTTCTCTCGTCCATCTACTTCCCACTTTCTTCAAAACATCCCTAATGATCACATGTCCGGTTTATGTTATTCTCAGCAGAACCATTACTCTGTCTCTTCAAATGTAAAAAAAAAAAAAATTAACATTCACTGTCTCAATATCTGCCTAAATCTCTGAGATGAGGTATTATGATTACTTACATTATTTACATTATTCAGACTGTTATCCTCATCTTCATTGCCATATTCACAACGTTTCAGCCGTTGTACACTCCGGCCTTTATATCTACGTGTCTCTATATATCTGTCTATATCTCTAAGATGAGGTAGTCTGTTTACTTGCATTATTTACATTATTCGAACTGTTATCCTCATCTTCATTGCCGTATTCACGTTTTGGCCTCTATATCTCTGAGATGAGGTATTATGATTACTTGCATTATTTACATTATTCGGACTGTTATCCTCATCTTCATTCCCATATTCACAACGTTTGTATTCTCCGGCCTTCTTCACGTGATTGGAATTCTGAACTGAACCCTTAATTTCGACCAGATTGTTCTAGTTCCACGTGCCATGCCTCTTCAGGCCGTCTCACTTATATCCCTCACCTCTACAAGTTGTTTGGTCACCACTGCTGTGGCCTGGTATTGAACACATAACTCTTTGAGTCTAGTCACTGGATCTAACCAACATCTTTATCCAATGGGACATGTGTCGTTCACTGATAATTATGAATAAGGTGGCAGTAAGTGAATATTGTGAACAGCTGAATAGATAAAGACTGATCCACAAGAGAAGTGGTTAAGTTTGTCGTGTATTGGGAAGCATCCACACGGGAGCGTTAATTTGATTTTATAAAACATTTTCCTTAAAACAATCTTTCAGAAAAACAAACTTCTCAAGTCCAGTGGCTGTTATTGCTCTTTCCAGTGTTGATTGCGGTTTCCTTCCTAATCTTTTGCTTGAAGCAGTGCGGAACATCTTGATTTTCTCTTCGCGTTCCATGTGATATCCATTCTAGTTGTTGCTGTTTCTCAAGTGCTGAGAGTAGAGTTCTTTGTTTGTGATATTATAGCACCAGTCCACAAGGTTCGAAGAAGGTTGTTCCTCGAGAAGACCCACAGGCTTCATAAAAGGGTAATTATTTTCCACCCTACATCCATTTTTCCCACAGACTAAAAGTAGCGAACGTCTTGCTAATCTATTGGTATTTCAATGGCACGTGTTCTGAAAAAACCACCGGACATTATGACTACTAAGAACACACACACAAACACACAAACACACGCACACACACGAATAAAGACACACACGCATACACACACACAGGCACACACACGGATACAGACACACATGCGCACACACACACACGCACACACACGGATACAGACACACACGCGCACACACGCACACGGAAACACACAAACACACACTCAACACACACACACGCACACACACGGATACACACACACACGCACGTACACACACACGGACACACACACGTAAGCACACACACCGATATACACACGCACACACGCGCGCGCACACAGAGACACACACACGAATACACACGCACGCACACACACGGATACACACAAACGCGCGCACACACAAACGAGCACACACACACCTAATGTATATACAGTCTGATCTAAATTCCATATAGACAAAGTACAATTATTATACACTTAGGTACATGAAGCAATCTTCGAATTTTTTTTAATTTCTTGGAACTTCGAAAAGACGCGTCGTCTCTCCTTGAATCCAGATTACCACAAACTACACTATACGGGATATGAAGCGAATTGAATAATGTAAACTATAAGGGAAAATATCAATTCAGATACAGCTATTAATACATATTAATAGATAGACAGATATGAACAAAATAAGATAGATAGGAACAAAATAAGATAGATAGATAGATAGATAGATAGATAGATGATATGAACAGAAATAGATAGCTAGATTAAAAACATTTGTTCAAATTATCATATTACATCACGAAACTTTATTGAGTCCATTTTTAAAAAATCTTACTTATGTTTATCTAAAGCAGACCGTGTTTACGTAAAAATGTTCTTAATCAACATTGGAAAAACAACCACAGATGTCTACTCAATATACATACATACATTAATATAGATTGTTATCTGAATTGCACATAGACAAACAAGAATTATTATACACTTAAGTACATAAAATTATATTCATGTTTTTGGGGATTTTCTTTTCAGTTAACCTCAAAATCTGTTAATTTCTTGTAATTCCAACAGGACGCGTCGTCTCTCCTTGAATTCGGAATGCCGCAAATTATTCAAATGTTGTTTAACAATTCAAATGTACGTGAATTCTGATTGAGCATTGAAAATCAAACAACAGAAAAGACAAAAAAATAGCAGGACATATATCTTTTTTCTCCATATCTCTGATGAAGCTTTGATAAATGTGAAACATTTTCGATTGATAAACATTTCCCATTTGTCCTTTATCTTATTGACTAAAACTTAAAACTAGAGATGCAAAAGTACCTTGTTATTTAACCCATAGCTGGGGGAGAGGAATTGAGCTCATGCCTTTGCTCATATTATACGAATAGATTTTAACAATCGTTCACCCAATACGATGCCTAAGGGTCACTCAAGGTAGAGTATTTCTGAATGATGTTGATTCAACGTAAGAATAGGAGTTAACAAGTGCAGATTATGAGGATATGTAGGATATATAAAGTTTGACCATAGCTTTTAGCGATTACGGAAGCATCCTCTTTGGAGTCTCTCACACGAAGGGGCGATTCTTGGGAAAAAAAGTTGTCAGAAGAGAACTTCTTCTCTGCTAATGGAATATGAATCTTGTACATATAGAGCATAGCAGGGGGGATCAGGTACATTCGGGATAGAGACAAAAAACTAGACATTTCTCTAGTATCTTCATCGATGCACCGTATATATGCTTTCCACTTGAGGCTGAGCGAGATGTTCTTCGTTCCCGATAGATATTCATCCTGGGTATGACGATAAACCACATCCGGCAGCAAGGCCTCTGATCGGGAGATTTTGAGAAGTGAGGAACCACCTCTTAATCGCAGTTGTTCTCAGATCCACTCGGACCTGGGTGGTAGCACCTGTTACGTTCCTATCTATCGGCAAATTTTAAGCCGCCAAACTGGGGCCAAAACTTTATAAAAATATAATTTTTTTTTAATGCATTTCACTCAAAGTAAGGCGGGAGTGCCACTAGCATACAAGCAAGTAAGGGGAAGGGAGTTCCACTGTTAGGAAGTGCAAGAGAGAACTTGATGCAGAAGCGGCAGCTAATTTAACAGTTTCGACACTGAAAGGGCGATACCTTGATACCAACTTAGCTTAAATTTATGCAGTTGGGGCACCAGTGAAATAAGCTCGTCAGAGTAGTTGCCACGAATATATTTATAGAAAGGGCAGAGGAAAGCCACATCACGTCTGAGAGAAAGTGATTTGGGATGCCAGATCAGGACCTATCACATAGCATATCCTCTTTAGATTTTGTCGAGGAACTCGAGATGAAGAGCGGGGGTACCAGACCGTATATGACAACAGTATTCAATGCAAGGACCAATGGTAGATTTGTAGATAGACCTTCTGGGGTGACAAAGAGAACCAGCTTTCCTTGCGGTAGAAGTAACTATTGATTCGATGTAGTTATTCCACATGAAGTCAGTGGAAAGCTTTAGACCAAGACGGTACAGAGAGGCGCTTTTATGTGATTGAGCATCACCCATGTTAATATAGGCGGGGAGGTTTCCCTATTCTACAATAAAAATATCAGAAATATGTTTTCATAGTAAAAAAAAAATTACCAAAAATCAGTTTTCATACTAAAACAAATTACTAGCAATATATTTTTATACAAAAACAAATTACCAGAAATATATTTTCATAGTAAAACAAATTACCAACAATATATTTTCATAGTAAAACAAACTACCAACAATTTATTTTTATACTAAAACAAATTACTAGAAATATATTTTCATACTAAAACAAACTACCAACAATTTATTTTCATACTAAAACAAATTACTAGAAATATATTTTTATACTAAAACAAATTACCAGCAATCAATTTTCATAGTAAAACAAATTACCAGTCATCTATTTTCATAGTAAAACAAATTACCAGCAATCTATTTTCATAATAAAACAAATTACCAGCAATATATTTTCATAGTAAAACAAATTACCAGCAATCTATTTTCATAGTAAAACAAATTACTAGCAATATATTTTTATACTAAAAAAAAATTACCAGCAATCTATTTTCATAGTAAATCAAATTACCAGCAATCTATTTTCATAGTAAAACAAATTGCCAGAAATATATTTTCATAGTAAAACAAATTACCAGCAATATATTTTTGAAAGAAATATTCTTATTCTCTCAAGAATATTAAATTTGAACATTAAATTACCCATTAGGTTTAATAAGTCGATAAAATATTAGGTTGTTCACAAAAGTTCGTAAACACTTGCAAAAAATTGAAATTTTACTCGCCAAGTAATTACAAAAACAATAAAAATTATTCCTCAAAATAAAGACCATCATTTTCCAAGACTTTCTGCCATCGATCTGCAAGCTTTCGGATCTGGTGAAAGTACCATTCAGCCGGCTTCGAATCAAAGAATTCTTGACACGCTTCCTCGACTTCATCAAACGAGTCGAATCGGCGGCCTTTCAGAAAATGTTGCATTGAGAGGAAAAGGCCGTAATCTGATGGAGCACAGTCAGGACTGTAGGCTGGATGTGGCAGAACCTCAACGCCGTCCAGTTCTTCAAACTTGTCTTTGGTCTTCCTGGCGGTGTGTGGCTTGGCATTGTCCTGCTGCATCAAAGCGCGCTTTCGGTTGATCAGAGCCGGGTACTTTTGCTTCAACTTTTCGTAGACCCGCTCTAGTTGCTGACAGTAAAGTTCAGCACTGATGGCACGACCATACGGAACCAACACAAAATGCACGATTCCTTCAAAGTTCCACCAAACGCACAACATGACTTTCTTGCCGAATCGATCTTGTTTTGGAATCGACGGTGTCTCTTGCCCTTTCTGAACCCATCGCTTGTCTCGATTGTGCTGGATTGTGTTGCATAAAAATTCAATTTTTCGCAAGGGTTTACGAACTTTTGGGACAACCTAATATAAACGAAACCGATCGATGTCCAAAGCAAAGAGAGGTATAAATTGCGAAAGTGATCGGGAATGATTAGTCCCGGGTGTGAACTTATATTTCAAATTACATTGTTTGCACCTCATTTCAATTCTTCATAGTTATGCAATGTCTGTAGACTTGTGTCAGTCTAAATACGTGTGTCTTGCATAGATTTAATGATTATCAAGCCAATTCTCAATGACAGAGAAACCTGATGTTGCTGTATTGTGACTTAGTCACCTACGCTTACGTAAATGCTTCCATCATTTGCTGACAACTAATAAGTAAAAACTTTCACTCGAGCAACGTCATTACTAACACCGAAGCCACAAGACTGCCAACGCCAAAAGAACAAACACCGAACTGCCCACGATACGCCTACGTCGGCCAGATCACGAGTCGTAGAAAGAAGACTATTGTCTATAAAACGTGTAAGCGCTTGCTGAAATGCCCCCGTGGATTAATTAATAAGACAAACGCTTTAGGAAAAGGAGAAAGACTCCTTAAGGAAACTATTTGCATTTCATAACAATGGCGTTAGTCAGGTAAATATTGGAAACGTTTTACAAGATCTTGATCATTTTGACCGAAACTCCAGAAAAGACACAGGTACAAATACTGATGTGGTGATACAGGTTGATAAACTCATGATTCTCTGACAATTCAAGTGAATTCTGATTCTGAAATTTTCAAGCTGAAATCTATTTCCGAAACTTTCTACTTGAATTCCAATTCTGAAGCTTTCTACTTTAATTCGAGTTCTGACAATTTATACTTGAATTCCAATTCTGGAACTTTCTCCATGAATTCAAATTCTTAAACTTTCTATATGAATTACATTTCTGGAGATTTCTTCTTCAATTAAAATTCCGAAACATTCAACTTGAATTCCAGTTCTGAAACTGTTTCATATTGACGAAATCTTTTGTGTGAATCCTGCTACAAGTAAAAGTGTGACCATTGAATGAAAAGGTTACAACGGAAAAGGATAATTTATTAATATAAATTATAGTTCTGTTATTAAACATCGTGCAGTGTTTTTTAGTACCAACAATGTACCATATTTGTTTTATATTCACACACACACATATATATATATATATATATATATATATATATATATATATATATATATATATATATATATATATATATATATATATATATATATATATATATATTTTATTTTGATACACACACACAAGCGCATATATATATATATATATATATATATATATATATATATATATATATATATATGTGTGTGAATATAAAACAAATATGGTATATTGCTGGTACTAAAAAAAACACTACGATGTTTAATAACAGAACTATAATTATATTAATAAATTATCTTAGGATAATTTATTAATATAAATATCCTAATATTATCATATATATATATATATATATATATATATATATATATATATATATATATATATATGAAGAAAAAATATATACGGAAAAACAAACAAAAATCATTATATACAATTATGCTGTTTTAATGTTAATATGAGGATTTTTGTTTGTTTTTTTTTATATATTTTTTTCATACTATCGAATCTATATCCAAATATTTGCTTACACACACACACACACACACATATATATATATATATATATATATATATATATATATATATATATATATATATATATATGAGAAAAGTGTATATAAATATAAATATATATATATATGTATAATTATTTATATATTATATGCGCGGTACTTATTAGAAACCCCAGCATATTTGATACTTTAAAACAATATGATCAGATATAATTTCCATATGTAACCATGAGAACAAACACCTATTACCAGGCAGCTTTAATATAATAATAATAATTTTGTAATTAAAAATTAAAAATTATAGCAATCTTCAACTACCATAATTTTACATAGAATACCTATTATCAGGATTTATACCAAAATAAATTAATACACATAACAAAATAAAATAAAACACCAACAACCACTTTTTAGTTCAAGCTACCACCACTATAACTACATTCATGGTTTTATCATTCTCCCACCACCGTTACTAATCATTTCTACCAATTTGCAATTTCTTCCAATTTACAATAACTATGAGCTAAAGCCTAAATAGCATTGTCTCCAATCCTTTGAAATATTACTATCACATCATATCATATAAACCCGTTATTAAATTAAACATCACCATATAAATTAAACAATAAGGATTACAAATTTTTACAAAGGTTACATATACACAGTCACCAAAAACAAACAAATAACCAACTTTAAATATAACAAATAAACCCCATTTTTTTCAAAAATTTAAAATAAATATAAATAATTATAATAATAATTTTTACCTATCATAATTTTACACAAACCCCACCACACTTATATACATACATGCGAAAATATTTTTCAAGGAAAAAAAAAAAAAAATTTCATAATATGACATGGATACATTCACGAGACATTAATGAGACATTTCCGCCACACTTCCAATGTTTAAATTTCAACATTTCAAAATACAAATGCGTATGTATAGGCATAACACCACCCGTATACATACATGTGTCATAGCCGAAACTGTCTACATATGTTTATATATATGTATGAGTCCCGACGGACGACCAAGTATTTATATGTGTCTGCATACATCGATGTTTGCGTTAGTACGATGAATGACAAAACGACGAAATTTCCCCACCACTTCCACAATAACACCAATACACGCAATCTACATAAACCCAATTTTTTAAAACATTAATCAGTTTGTTGACGATCATTAAAGCGTGAAACAGGGATCAACAAATATATATATATATATATATATATATATATATATATATATTATATATATTACGTGTAGAAACGATACAAATTGACTTTTCGACGATATCATTTCAAAGGTGTCTATTCCGTTTTTTGCACTTCTACGAATTTTTTTCCCAAATTCTAGTCCAGGATTACCGTAGAAAAAATGTCTAGCTATCCCAGATCGTTTGCTTCATTCTGTCTGTCTGTCTGTCTGTCTGTCTATCAATCTATCTATCTCAATCTTCTCATCTCTCACTATATATATATATATATATATATATATATATATATATATATATATATTATCTAGTGTGCCTGTCCGTCTGTCTGTCTATCCATCTATCTATTTATGCCATCTGTTCATCTCTAACTAACCACCTCCAATCTATCTGTGTATCTCAGTCGATTTTTATATCTATCCATTCCAACCTGTCTATCTATATATATATATATTTCTAATCTCCTAATGATGCTAGTCTATCTATCTATCTATCTATCTATCTATCTATCTATCTATCCCAGTCAGCAATATTCTGCTTCTCTTCCATATAAATGTCTACCGGATTGACGGACTTCTTTACTGCCATTTCTCTTCAAATATTTGCTGGCCCGGCGTTTATCGCTATGGCGACTAAAAAAATGTGTATTTTTTTGTGTGTGTGTGTTTACGTGTGTGTCTGTGTTTCCTGTTGAGAAAATTGCAACTTTGATATTTTGAACTACGCTTTAATATGTTTAAATGCTTTAGACGCCAAATACATATATGCGAATCACTTAATTACGTTCATTCTCGTTTTTTTTTTTTTTTTTTTTCTTAATTTATTTTCGTTTTCCAACCCACTTGAAGATCTGTCTATTTGTCAATCTAAATAATTTCGGAAGATTGTATAGCATGATATTAAATAACCACGTCGTGTGGACCATTCCTTGAAACTCAATACTCAAGTTCTTTAGTCTACCATGATATATTTTGTAGATATCTATCTTTACGAGAAAATGGATGCACCAATAAACCTAACTTCGCGTATAAGAAGTTTATACATACATATATATATATATATATGTGTGTGTGTGTTTTCTTCTGATACGCTATTCGATATGAAATGATTCTCAGTATGTATTAGAAAATATTTTCTTCAAGCTAATTATTACTTATTGCTATATGCTGATGGATTTTTTCCTATGAAGATTGCCAAAGTGGAACGCCATTTTTGGAAAACTGAAGAAAACTTCAGAGCTCGGTTGGATGATTACACAATGGAAAAACAGGAAGATGAGCGTGGAGAAGCTTTGTTGATTCAGGAAGAAATGTCCTCTTTGATAAGGCATCGGGAACTTCAATATTAGCATGTACTCCGGGATAGATAGATAGATAGATAGATAGATAGATAGATAGATAGATATAGAAGGATAGATGGAATTGACAGATTGAAATAGATAGATAGATAGATAGATATGAACAGTCTGAGATAGATAGATAGATAGATAGATAGATAGATAGATAGATAGATAGATAGATAGATAGATATAGAAGGATAGATAGAATTGACAGATTGAAATAGATAGATAGATAGATAGATAGATATAGAAGGATTGATAGAATTGACAGATTGAGATAGATAGATAGATAGATAGATAGATAGATAGATAGATATGAATAGTCTGAGATATATAGATAGATAGATAGATAGATAGATAGATAGATAGATAGATATGAACAGTCTGGAGATAGATAGAGATATAGATAGATAGATAGATAGATAGATATAGAAGGATGAATAGAATTGACAGATTGAAATAGACAGATAGATAAATAATGAACAGAATGACATAAATAATGAACAAATGAATAATTAAAAGACTGAGAGAGAAAGAAAGAGTGACAGAGAGAGATAAATAGATATGAACAGAATAGATAGATAGATATCTGAGCAATTTTAGATAATGAAGAGAATGACATAAATAATGAACAGATAGATATTGAACACACATAGATAGATAGATAGATAGATAGATAGATAGATAGATAGATAGATATGAAAAGACTGAGATAGATAGATAGATAGATAGATAGATAGATAGATAGATAAAAAAGACTGAGGATTGGATAAATAGATAGTTCGATAAATATGAACAGACGGAGAATAGATAGATAGATAGATAGATAGATAGATAGATAGATAGATATGAATAGTCTGAGATATATAGATAGATAGATAGATAGATAGATAGATAGATAGATAGATAGATAGATATGAACAGTCTGAGATAGATAGATAGATAGATAGATAGATAGATAGATAGATAGATAGATATAGAAGGATAGATAGAATTGACAGATTGAAATAGACAGATAGATAAATAATGAACAGAATGACATAAATAATGAACAAATAGATAATTAAAAGACTGAGAGAGAAAGAAAGAGTGACAGAGAGAGATAAATAGATATGAACAGAATAGATAGATAGATATCTGAGCAATTTTAGATAATGAAGAGAATGACATAAATAATGAACAGATAGATATTGAACACACATAGATAGATAGATAGATAGATAGATAGATAGATAGATAGATATGAAAAGACTGAGATAGATAGATAGATAGATAGATAGATAGATAGATAGATAGATAGATAGATAGATAGATAAAAAAAAGACTGAGGATTGGATAAATAGATGGTTGATAAATATGAACAGACGGAGATAGATAGATAGATAGATAGATAGATAGATAGATAGATAGATAGATAGATAGATGAAAAAAAGACTGAGGATTGGATAAATAGATAGATAGATAGATAGATAGATAGATAGATAGATAGATATGATCTGTCGGAGATAGATAGATAGATAGATAGATAGATAGATAGATAGATAGATAGATAATGAACATGCTGCGATAGATAGATAGATAGATAGATAGATAGATAGATAGATAGATAGATAGATAATGAACAGGCTGCGTTAGATAGATAGATAGATAGATAGATAGATAGATAGATAGATAGATAGATAGATTATGACAGAATGGCATAAATAATGAACACAGGTAATGAACACTCTGAGATAGATATATTTGATAGATAGATTGTCTGACCGTTAATTAACAAAGACAGATTGCGATAGCATTTAAAGTGAATAATGTTTATTGCATTTGGAATAATGGAGAACACTTATAATTATCTTTTTTTTTTTCTCAATGCATATCTTAAATTGGTTGAATAAGGATTCATCATAATTTTACTTATGTACACCCACTAATGGTCGGCATCTGTTGCCGTTTTCTTTATTGTGCTCAGCCGAGAATTTTGAACAGAGTCCTTCATCTGTTTAAAGGACAAAAAGCATTGGTTCTTCGAATTTGTAACATAGTAATTGAGCCTGGAAGTGTTTATTTGGACTTAGGGGCGAGCAATATCTTCAGTCAGTTATGTGCCATGCAGTCCGTTGCACTTTTCATAACTAGATTCCGCATTTCCATATGTGCCACAGACGAAGGTCATGAAAACATGAAGGGAAAGTTGAAGTCCGCCTTAAACGAATTCACGCCATCGGCAATTTCTTTCACCTCTAACCAAATCTTGCAAAGCCAAACGGCGATTGGGAATGGATGACGGGAGCAGCTTTTGGTGAAACTGGAAGCTTCTATGTCTAAACCTGCACGTTGTCGGTGTCATACCTGACGTACCTATTTTATTATTTATAGACTCTCCCACACAATAAGTAGTGTAGCGGTCGACAGTTGGGCTCAGTGGTGTTGAGTGAGTCAGTCGATGTCGGACATTGAAGTATCAACCATCACAACTAGATTGCTGCGTCATTAACTCTTATTTCAAGTTCCTAACGTTTTGTACGTCGGACACTTTTAGGACCGACTTAGCGAAATACAAGCCTCCACTGTGAAAACTACTCTACAACAGTCGGCGAATGTAGTCATCAAAGCCATCATTATAATGGAAAGCGATCAAGCGGACAAAGAGGGCTACGCATGACGGACATGCTATAGAAAGCGCCAATCGAAATTATAACAGAGTCAATGGCAGTTCGTTGCAGTTTCATAACTAGATTCCGCATGTCTCATTCCATATATGCCAAAGAGGACGGTAATGAAATCATGAATGGAAAATTAAACAAATTCACGCCATCGGCATTTTCTTCTACTCTGATTTTTTTCACGTCCAACCAACTCTTTCAAAGCCAAACGGCAATAAGGAATGGATGATGGGAGCAAGTTTAGGTTGAAACTTGAAGCTTCTAGTCCTGAAGCTGTACGTTGTCGAAGAACTTAGTCATCGACGCCATCATTATAAACGAAGAAATCAGCAGAGCAGAAAACTTGGATTCGAAATAAGCTGACGAGTGAAATTTCCAAATAATAATTTTGCTCGAAACTTCCTGGGTGTCTATCTGTGCGCATGTGTCTGTAAACGCGAATGCGTGTCTCGTTTAGCACGCTGCCTTAGAGTGCGTAGAGAATGAAACAGTGGGGGCACGAATGGATCACATCATAATCCCTTTGAATAAAATAAAAACCTCGGAAATTCAACGGAGCGTTCTTCACGCGATCCCAGGATTTATGTCTGTGAATCCGGACAATGCCTACAGCAAAAATAAAATAAAAATTGGAATGCAAATCTTTTCAGCTAAAATCGGTGAATATGAAATCGAAGACAAAAATCGATATGAAAATCTATCAAGTAACAGATGAATAAATATTGATCCGAATTCATATGCATGAAGTAAAATCTACCATACAAATATTTGAATACTCTCACTGGTATATATATATATATATATATATATATATATATATATATATATATATATATATATATATATATATAGATATAAAAAGTTATATTTATAGGATAAAGTGCTCAATATCAGAGATAGAGCGTAATATGTTAATAAAACATCGAAAACCAAAAAGAATAATTAAATATATAAAATAAAAAATGAAAATAAAAAAACAATAAAATAAATTAACCCAAATAAATAAATAAACAAGCCACTTCCGCTAAAATAACCGCCAGAATGGATAAGCCACAATGGAACACTGGTCCATATATATAAATAGTAGAGAAAAAATTCAACACTTGCGGCCTGACGATTGCGTCTAGTATGAAACAGTCTGTCGCCTCTGAGTGTTGACTTCAATGTTCACTTATATATATATATAATGGTAAAAAAACCGTGGATACTAGTAATATCAAATATTAAATTCACAGAAAGATCACAATATATTTATTAATACAGATAATTAGTACAGAATAAAATCCCAAATCATGTCATAATTCGTCAGTCTTGTTCGAACTCAGCCTATACCGGGGTTGAATAACACTGACGAACTTTTCGTCGGTTGAAATATACCTATTCCCCATATCTGGTTATTTGGGATTTTATTCTGTACTTATATATATATATATATATATATATATGGGTGTGTGTGTGTCATCCACATACAAGCTTGTTTTTCTGTATCACAGCTTATCAGTTCGGTTAGACATCCGACTGTTTCAAGCCGGGATCGAAACCTGACCGATTTGGCATTAGTTAGAGTTTCTACCCTTGAGCTATCAGCGCACGTTAGAAGGAAAGGGAAATTCTAGCGTATAGTTTTTTTTGTTTTTGGGTTTGTTTTTTTTACGAATGTAAACAAACGCCTGGCAGCCATAATGCTCAATTCATTTTCAATGAAGAACGTTCCGTTAGCGGAGATGACTGCCTGTTTGCAATTACCTGTTCTCTCTCAAATCATAATTCACAATTTTACTTGTCCCTCCCTCTTGGTTTCTTTGTTAACGCGTACTTAGTCTTGGACAATACGTCATAAATAATGGACTTTTGTTTTTCTTTTTGATCGCGTGCAAAAACGAAAAAGACACACCAGAGACACTCTGTGGCTTTAGTGAAAGAAAGAAAGAAAAATTATCAGAAAGTCAGCGAGAAAAAAGAAAGAAAAAAAGATTATCAGAAAGTCAGCAAGAAAAAAGAAAGAAAGAAAGAAAGAAGGGAAGATAAAAAATCTAATAAAACTCTCGTGTTTAACGCGTGTTTCAGTTAATTACAAAACGTTATCAATAACCAAACCTTTTCATTTGCTACGACGTCTTAAAATAACGACAAACATACATATTTATGATTGTTATTGCACTATTTTTTAAAGTTGTTAAGATTAAATATGTAACGATGCGATAGGGGAATTTCTACGGATATTTTATTATCGTAGAACTTGCCATGAGCTTATTCATCCATTAACTGAAGAATTTTAATTCATCAGATTACTAACCCTTTGAACCCTGCATTCCTGAACAATTTGAACCATTCTGCCTGAGCTCCTGAGTCCAAATTCGCAAATAATTGTTATGTAATGTTTCACGGTAGATATAAAAATAATTACAAAAAATATAACTTCCTGATTGCTTCCCTGACGGTCCAAGTTGTACAGAATAAATATAACTTTCCTCTTTGGTACTCCGACATTCTGAATTTAAACGCAGTACTAGATTGTCTGCAAGGTCTAATCATTTTACAGTTGGATTGGCTATATGTAATCGTAAGTCCTATATTAACATTTTATATTCTCGTCCTTTTAGTATTGTATTTATTTCTATGCTTGTTCAAATGAATACAATATGAGAACCAGTAATAAGTAGTGCCAGAGAAAAGCAATGATAACAACAAATTTGCAATATGAGCTCTGGTAAAAACATGTTTAATAATAACAGCAAAATTGCAATATGAGCACTGGTAAAAAATGATTGCTGAAGACATTACATTTATAATACCCAGAAATTCATACCTAGGTTCCTCAAGGACACATGGCACAGGTTGGTTGGATCCAGTGACAGGACCCAAACAGTATGAGTTCAATACCTGGTTAAGGCAGTGGAGAACTTGGAGAGAGGAATTAACAGGAGTTAACTTATAACCCACATCCATCAAACATGGCACGTGGAACTAGAACAGTCTACCCCAGTGAGCGAAATAAAGGGTTCAGTTCGGAAAACCACCTGAAGAAGGCCGGGGCGTACAACGACCGAAACGTTGTAATAAAAAATATGGCGACAAAGATGACAATAGTCCGAATAATGTAAATAATGTACATAATATCTCATATCAGAAATATAGACAGATTGCTAAGTTTTATTTTCAAAAAATTAAATGCAATGTCAATCGTTATCAACTGTCTTCTTGATTCCTCTTCTTTTATTTTTCTCGTTTTCTTTTCTTATTTTTTTCCCGCTTAGTAACCTCGAGTATGTTAGTGGTTTTATTACTTTGGTGAAATGATTTTTAAAAAAGGTAAGGGTAAGGTTTTTTCAATCCGTTTTCTATGCTTAGGAGATATTTGATGTCAGTCTTTCTAGCTTTATCCATTTTTTTTTTTTTTGTCGCTTTCACGTATCGTGACATTCCAGCGGTAGTAGATCCAGGGATTGAACTCAAAGATGTTAGGAAACAGATATATTTTAACGCAAGCTTTAGTCCATCAGGCCATGCGCTTCTCATCACCTGAGGAGCAAAGAATGTAATATTGATATTAAAACTTTAAACCCTGCGTTCCTGAACAATTTTAAACCTTCTGCCTGAACTCCTGAGTCAAAATTCCCAAATAATTAGTATATAAAAATAGTTACAAGTGTTTACCCATCGTTCAACCGGTAGCTGGGTATTACGTCATTTTTCTCTACTCCCGTTAAATCGGTGATCAGGGCTGAAAGGGTTAAAATAGGAAAACTGTGACATTTTTAAGGGTATTTCTAGTATAGGTATGACAACGAAGTGGGAAAAATTCCGTGAAATGCGTTTCGAGCATTAGAAGGACTTCATTTATTGTAATATTATTTTGTTAATTGAATTATATATTTGTAAGAAATGGAAGGGGAGCTATTAAGGCTGTATTGCATGATCCCTCCAAAAAAGCATTTCAAAATTAGAATTTAAGGGCTTGTATTTTTATTCATCTCTCTAAGTATCTGTTGCATAGTGAAACTGACTCGTCTGCTGCTAGCATTTTATAAGCCATAGCAA